AACTAATTAAATTAATAATTAATAATAATTGACATGTAAGTGAAATTATGTTTATTTTATTTTAATTTGGTTATGATTATTCTTTGTCTTGTTAATTGTATTGTATAATATTTCATATTTATTTGTAATCAAGTAATGGTAATAGTATTGAATGTTTCGATGTTAATATAATTACCTGTTCTTAAATTGTTGCATGCCCGATAGGGTATAACTGTTGATACTGATGTCAAATTCAAAGCAATAGTTACTGCTATATGTATGTACACAGTTAGCAATAAAATTCTATTCTATTCTATTCTATTCTATTCTTAAATTGTACGAAAAAGTTGATCGGTTTCTCTCGAAGCATTTCTATGGAGACACTCTATGTACCTATATAATCTAAGGTTACCAAGTTATCTCAAATCGACGGATCATTGACAGACGCTGGGGTTTTTTCGTTTAACATTGATGAATATTAAGTTAACTGATGACGTAAGGAGATATCCGTCGCAAAATCAAAATTCAACGCAGGCAAAAGGAAAATGTTATAATTTTGTTCTATTCTTCTTGTGTGTCACTGTAGATCGACGAGATGGCCGTTTGTTGCTCGGGTAAGTCGCGGGTTTTACCTTTGCACTGTCCGTAAACCATAAATATTACAATATAAAAATTACCAGTTGAAACTGGTTGAATGTATGTATGTACATAATTATCATGTGTATGTTAAGGATTCCCCGAGCTCATTATTTTTTTAATAGCCAAGGAAACAACGCTGAGTTTGTCTATTTGTTTGATGAGTTATAGTTATATTATTTTATATACCCGAAGGAGACTTTGTACAAAAGACGAATGCTTGGGCACCTCTGTTCCATTCGTGTTTGAACCGTGAAGCAGTTGTTTGCATGGCTGTGTTTCGGTTTGAAGGGTGGGATTTGGCGTGAATTTACTGGGTACGGTGGAATAACATCTGAGTCCTCAGGAATGGCAACGCATGGGGGGTATCATGGGCGAAACAGTATACTCTGTTATGTCCATGGTACTGCTCATGTGTATAGGCGACGGTTACCACTTTCCATCAGGTGGGCCGTCAGCTTGTTTGCCATTCTAAGTTGTATAAAAAAAATTATTATTGTTTACATTGAATTGCTTATTTCTCAGCTTTTAGCGTTGGTAATTATACTACACTTAGGAGTACGTGACCAAGTATCTAAGTGCAGTATGTATGTTTGTATGGAAGGTTATGCTTGTGTATGTCGGGTGGCTACTTCATCCTCATCTATATCTAAGAATTTTCTGACTATTCTGCAAGTATTTAATATAGCAGCCTTTTGTAGGGAGATGTAGAGATTTCTTCGTAGACCTATTTGTTTTAAACAATGGTGTAAATGGTTGGGAATGACACCTGTAGATGAGAGGACTATCGGTACTATGTAAACTTTAGCACTGAAAAATACATACAGATTTAAATTTTCACGTTTTTACGATCAACCCCTGTTGTTTAATACCGATTTTTATATGCCGCAATAGATTTACAAGATGACAATCGAATATAATAATTGTAGTACGATATATTTTCATGTATAGTTCTAGAAATAATGTTTATGGTAAAACAATGTTTACCGAGTCAGCTAGTATAATATAATAATGTACAAAAAAATTAATACATTAAAAAAATCAACGCAATGACTGTAAACTGTGGGTATATACCTAAAACGATTTAATATTATTATGATTAACCAACATCGAAAAAGGAAGACTTATATATGTATTTTTATTATTTTAATTTACTATGATAACCGCTTGACCGGTTTTGCCTTTGAAGTAACATTTCCATTTGTTTTCTATGGTGCAATTAATTGACTTCAATGTCATTTTTTAGTTGTACAAGTCAACTTGGTTACGAGTTAATTTCGCCTTAGTATGAACGCAATTTTATGGTATCCTTTTGACCTTGACGATGAAGGTTTATTAATTAAAATATTCTTTTTAAATACGTTTTTGTAATTGTATTTTTTTTTCATACAACTTAGAATGGCAGACAAGCTGACGGCCCACCTGATGGAAAGTGGTAACCGTCGCCTATACACATGAGCAGTACCATGGACATAACAGAGTATACTGTTTCGCCCATGATACCCCCCATGCGTTGCCATTCCTGAGGACTCAGGTGTTATTCCTCTGTACACAGTAAATTGACGCCATATCCCACCCTTCAAACCCAAACACAGCCATGCAAACACAACTGCTTCACGGTTAAAACACGAATGGGACAGAGGTACCCAAGCAATCGACTTTTGTACAAAGTCTCCCTCTGGTAATCTATCTTATTGTATTTATTTTGTACTTATATCTACCGTGTAGTTTTTTTTTTGATGGATGAAAATGGTATGGTAACCCCGCCTGCACTAACGGGATACACTGGCGGAGCACCAGTGAAGGGTGATAGATGAGAATGAAAACAGGCCAGTTAGCCCATTATGATAATTCATCAGGAATTAACCATGATAGTTTGCAGGGAGAACCGCGAGGAGGTCGACCTAGTTGGGTATATTGCTAGCAATGGGATTCTCAGTCTCCATTACTAACAATCCCTTTCCCCCCATCCACTGTGTAATGGAATCATAGAATAGGCAACCCCTTCGTTTTCCGCAGGTGTCGTAAGAGGCGGCTAAGGGAATTTTAAAGTCGAGGATTGAGCAACAGCGTCCCTCTTAAATCATCACTAAAGCCTAACTGCGGTTGTCAATCCGCCTGCCAAGCGTGGCAACTACTGTCAATACCTCTATCTATGTGAGGTAATCCATATAAATACCGTGAGCGATGGTAATCCCACAATTCCATTATGATCCATTAAAAAAATCCTGCAAATGTACCGACAACGTTTTCCTTAAAGTTTTTTTTAAGGAAACGCATTAAATTTTACATATGTACCTATGTAGCGTAATTCGCAAACTCAGCCGAATTTAATTTGAGGTGATCGACCTTGATTAATATTTTATATCCTTACACATATGTACACATTTTATTACAAGTAATAACACATTTTTATCTTATTTCTTAAATTAACTTATCAAATAAATTAAACGAATAAGGGCTCGAGTATTAAATTTAACAAATAAACATAATATTTTCAACTTATAAATGTTTATTTAAACCAGTATAATTTTTGAAATAATGTATGAAAATCTATTTATTTAGGTGTATAACAATCTGCGATTTTTGCACGGTAAAAAATAATTAATTTAAGAATTCAATTAAAAAAAAATATTACACATGTATAATTGTATTGTTATTCTTTAAGTGGCGCAAAAAATAGTAAATAAGTAAATAAATTAAGTGACTATTATTCTATTCTTGTCAATATTATAAATATTTAAAAAAAAACTTTTAAAATTTTATTACGTTAATTTTTCGTTAATTTCAATCTTTCGCATGTTTTATACACGTATTTATACGACGTACGTACTTATGTTAGAATCCAGCGATATTTTAAACATTACTTTCATATCAAATTTCACATGAAACAGTACAGTCGTCTTTATGTACTAAAAGTTACATACATACATACATACATATCTGTCACGCCTGTCTCCCATTAGGGTTAGGGTAGGCAGAAACAATGGAACGTCAAATGCTTCGATTCAAACAAACCTCTTTCGCTAAAAATTACGTATCTAACATTTGCTCTTGACATGAAATTTATTATTAGGATCGTTTTATATATTAGCTATATATTATATATTAGCTATATATATTAGCTAAACATATATATATATATATATATATATATATATATATATATATATATATATATATATATATATATGTTAATTTTCGAAATTCTGTCCATTCATGCGAAGACGGGTTGGATCGCTAGTAGCTAATATATTGGGGGAGAGGTATATGACAAGTAGTGAAATATTAGCGGGTTAATATTACATTTAACTAAATACACATAACTTTAACAGAAATCTGAAAAGATAACTGTTAAGTTTCTTCTCGTAAAATAACTTCTGGAATCCACAGTGGTAACACAAAAAAAAGGTTTTTAAAAGAGCTTTTATGTAGACCTTTTTAAAAAAAAAGTTTGTATTTGAGTGAAACAATAATTTATATTTGAATTTCTCGTTTACATTTAACTGTAACCAAGATTATTTTATTAATATTATTATACCAGCTAAACATTTCAATAACACAAATAATTTATAGAATATCGATTACAAAAAAAATTGTAGTGAAACATTTGTTTTGGCGTTACTCCAAGCGTCGGCGGGTCATGGCGAGGAATTAGTACTACCGCTACAGCGTCGCCATCGGGCCGCGTGAAGCTGTACCAAGCAGTGGCACATTTACAGAATTTGATAGATGCACATCACTCGTGCCGCCAGATTCGGCGCCGTGGGCAATTATTGACACGGCACACTGAGATGCGTGTAGACGTTATTTCCGTCCGACCCTGAGACGCCTGAGTCTAGCCATACCATTCGGCAAGCGGTTTATTTTGATGAATATCTCGAAATACCCATAGTGCCTGAACGCAAGCGGGAAATAGTGTACGTTTCCTAGTTACGCGTCTTACGTTTGGCATTGGCGAGCGAAACTGTATCGAGAATCGAGACGAGCGGACGTTCGAAGTTTACATTGCACTTGTCCGTAGACGAAACACGATTGTTTTATATCTAAATAAAACAGAAACGATAATTTAAAAGAACTATTTCAACACAACTCTTTTATACATAAATCTTATTTAGGTTTCCTTGATAATAACATCTGTTAGACATTCATTGAGTCAAATTAAACTAGCCCAATTTTAATGGGATTGCTATTGTTTTATTACAAAATTGTTAGAAAAGTTTGAAGGAGTTTTGCCTCCATAAACTTTTGTTAAAATATTCGCTTTAAAAACGCCAGCCTTAAAAATAATATTACACATTTTAAACAGTAAAGATATAATGAAACAATTGAAATGAACGCTTCTAAAAACCTTATGGATACTTATGAAAAACTGTATGCCTTACCTTTTTATTCTGGCGAGCGGGCGTCAGCCCCACCTGGGAGCCCATCTCAGCCAATATATTCTTTGGCATCGTCACTGTTACAAGTTCACACAACAAACGAAATTCTAATAAAGTACGAGAGTCGCACGTGTTACGGTACAGCCGGGCGGCGTGAGGTGCGCGTCGTGCACGCCGTGTAACGAATGAGAGCGCGCGGCGCACGCGCACCAATATAACGCTGCTGCCGCGCCGCGTGTGACGTCAGCCGGTCTCGCGAATCCGCTCCAAGCCTTCCGCCTGCAGCCGTGGATGCAGCCAATGACGACGACAACCAGAGGTACCGACTGCGCTGCAACCGTAAAGGTTCTTTAATGGATGCTAATGGAATGGGGGGAAGGGATTGTTAGCAATGGAGTTTGGCAGCACCATTGCTAGCAATATACCCTATTAGGTCAACCTCCAGGTGGTTTCCCCTGGAAATCATCGTGAACAATTCTTGTTGAATTTGTCACGATGGGCTAACTGATCTGCTTCATCCTCATCTATCATCCTTCATTGATGCCCCGCCGGTGTATACTGATAGCGCGGGTGGGGTTACCATTCCATTATCACTCATTAAAAAAAAAGATAATGGAATGGTACCCCGCCTGCGCTAGCAGTATACACTGATGGGGAACCAGTTAGGGATGATAGGTGAGAATGAAAAAAACAATTCAGTTAGCCCATCGTGATTAATACATTTGGAATTTAGCACAATGTTTATTTATTTATAAAAGACACACCAACAATATGCTCACAATAATTAAGCAGACAATGTACAATGTTAAAAATAAGTAAAAAGTGAAAAATTACTACTCAAAAATGCTTAAATCTAAATGTTTACTTGAACAAAAACATCTCACTCCTCCCTACCAAGCATAAGGCCATATGAACACATCAATTAAAGGTGTATACAGCTCTCACAGAAAAGCGTCAATGTATACTAAGTAACAATTATACAATTAGAAAAGACCTAACTACCAATCCATATTATTAATAAGCCTAGTAAACTACAGTAAAGAATTACCAAAGATGTCGATATCATGGTCAACGTTTACGGCTTTATTATACGATGATAAAATTCTGTTGAGAGGAGAATTGGATCCTAAGTTAGTACGAGAAGCCTATGTTGAAAATGTGTTAACTATTTTAGCAGTTCTAATATTGAAATTACGTGGTACTATCAAGCGTATATCCTTAACAACGTCAGGTATCAAAATAAGGCCATTTAAAATCTTGAATAACATTATAAGATCTATAACCTTTCTACGCTGACTCAGTGACTTCATCTCGGAGAATTCCAGACGATCAGCATAAGATGCAGTTATTGGACATAATTTATCTTTGTAAGCCAAGTAACGTGTGAAACTTCTTTGCACTCTCTCAATACGATCATTACATACATTGATATTGGGGATTCTATATCAGAGAAGCATATTCAAGTGTACTGCGTACGTATGCGTTATAAAGTATTTTTAATGGCCTAACACCTTTAAATCCTTTACAAGTTCGTTTAAGAAATCCGAGCATTTTATTGGCTTTCTTAACTATATTATCAATAGGTCCATTAAGTGATAGTTTTGAATCCAGTATCATACCATATCGCTAGCAACAGGGTCCTTAGTCTCCAATACTAACAATCCCTTGCCCCCAACCATAAGGATTGTAGTTCTTTATCAGTCAATAGGGTCGACACCGATGGTGTGGTGGTTGAACAGACCGGCACATTTTCCTACGGTCGCGGGTTCAATTCCCGCGCAATACAAACCACTATACTCATTAGTGTAATTGTTTGTATTGGTCTGGGTGGACACCATTTTTTTTATTTCACTAATACGTATACATGCAGCTGCAATAAAAGTATATATGTGAATCTACCAGTTCCTAGGCAGGCTACATTATAATAAAGTCAGGTCAGTTAGCCCATCGTAACAAATGCCACTAGAATTAACCACGATAGTTTCCAGGGGGAACCACGTGGAGGTCGACCTGACAGGGTGTATTGCTGGCAATGGGTCAGTTTTTTTTTTAATGGATCATAATGGCATAGTAACCCCGCCTGCGCTATCGGGATACGCTGACGGGGCACCAATGAAGGATGATAGGTGAGAATGAAGCAGGTCAGTTAGCCCATCGTGACGAATTCAACAAGAATTGTTCATGATGCTTTCCAGGAGGAACCACGTGGAGGTCGACCTAATAGGGCATATTGCTACCAATGGGGCAGTCAAACTCCATTGCTAACAATCAGTTTCCCCCGGCAATGGGTCAGTAGGGGGGAAAGGGATTGTTAGTAAAGGGGTCTAATGAATCTATTGCTAGCAATACACCTAATCAGGTCGACCTCCACGTGGTTCCCCCTGGAAACCATCGTGATTAATCCTTGTTGAATTCGTCACGATGGGCTAACTGACCTGCTTCATCCTCACCTATCATCTCTCACTGGTGCCCCGCCAGTGTATACCAATAGCGCGGACGGGGTTACCATTCCATTATCACCCATTAAAAAAAAATGGGTCAGTTAGGCATCATTACCATCGATCCCTTTCCCCCAAACAAACACACTTTCAAATTATTTAATATATTAGAAGGATTAATCAAGATTTATTGATATTATGAATCTAGATTTACTCTGTTTACATTCGAGTAATGTTTCCATTTTCACCTTAAACTCGAACGAATATTAATTATGGAAATATAACAAATAGCTCTCAATAACAATTTATTAGGAAAAGTTTTTTTTATACAACTTAGAATGGAAAACAAGCTGACGGCCCACCTGATGGAAAGTGATAACCGTCGCCTATAGACACGAGCAGTACCATGGATATAACAGAGTGTACTGTTTCGCCCATGATACCTTCCATGCGTTGCCATTCCTGAGGACTCAGGTGTTATTCCTTTGTACCCAGTAAATTCACGCCATATCTCACCCTTCAAATCGAAATACAGCCATGCAAACACAACTGCTTCACGGTTGAAACACGAATGGGACAGAGGTAATCAAGCAATCGACTTTTGTGCAAAGTCTCCCTATGGTAACAAGTAAAAGTACGTAAATATCCCAGTGAGATATACTTTCTATAGGTGAAAGGGTTTTTAGAAAAGACCCAATAGTTTTTGAGTTTCTGCATTACAAACAACTGATCAGAATTTTCATTATTATATACATAAATTAGTCTGTGGGTACTAGCGGCCCCATTACTGGCAATATACCTCGCCAGATTGATTTACATATCATTCCCCTCTAGTAACCATTGCAGTTGTTTATTCTCGGTGAACTCTTCATGACGGGTCACCTGATCCGACTACATCGTCGCCTGGCTGAATGAGCGGTGGCGCTCACTGAAATTGCGGGTAAAAACCAGTATATTCAAAATATAAGCACAGGTGCGTGTATTTGCTTGCGTGTATGACGTCTTGTAGGGCCGAGAAGTCTTGCTAACAGCAAAGCTTGTTGGTCAATATTGCTTGTTTATTATTAATATACAACTAGGAGAATAATTTGGGATTACAATAAACAATATTGGGGAAAGGGGATAGTTAGTAATGGGGATCAAATAGCCCCATTGCTAGCAATATATTCTATCTCACTGGTGCCCCGCCGACGTATACAGAAAGCGCGGGGGAGATTACCATTCCAATATCATCAAAAAAAATATATACAACATTTGAAAAACAATGATAGTTCATAGATCTGGAGATAGATGGCGCCACTATAAAGTAAACACTTTTCAATTGCGAGTAATAATTAAATTTCCTACCTATTTTCTTAAAAAGACTTAAATGTTTTAATAAATTTAAAAGAAAATACATTTAAAGAAGTGTACGGAGGGATAAGTGCCAATAACAGGTATTGTGTTAATGTTTAAAATTTTTTGCAATGAGGGTACTTCATAAAATAAAAGTGCGGGTATAAATGTGACAGTTCAAACGTCACATTAACTGTTTATAGATTGTTAATTTTGCATGTTCTGATAAGTGCAAGTTGGTACAGTGGCGATTGCCTCACTGTCGGCGGAGTTGATTACATTCAGGACATGGACGGTCACGAATGTAATCGGCATCGCCTTTTTTTTATGGAATATTTTTCCTTTTTATAGCATACAAGTATTTAAATAATACTACATCAAAAACAAATGTTTGAAAATTAAACCTCTCATTAACTTACTAATATTGTATTTGCGACAGTTCGTGACGATGGATAGATGAAGGTTTGTTACTCTTTCACGCAGAAACACTGCACGGATTTTGATGTAACTTCACAATGTTATAGGCTATATATTTTTTTCTTACAACATAGGGGGCAAACGAGCATGCGGCTCGCCTGATAGTAAGTGACTACCGTCGCCCATGATCACCCACAACACCAGCGGCATTGCAGGTGTGCTGCCGGCCTTTTAAAAAGGAATACGCTCCTTTCTTGAAGGTTATGTTGTCGTATCGGTTCGGAAATACTACTGCTGGAAGTTGATTCCAAAGAGTGGTTGTGCGTAAAAGAAAGTGCCTTGAAAAACGCACGGTGGAGGACCGCCACTCGTCCAGATGGTTTGGATGAAATTTAAGTTTATGGCGGGTTGTACGATGGTGAAAATCAGCAGCAGGTATCAATCCGAAATATATCAGTAAACACATAGAAATAGTCATAGCATTTAGACATTTTGTAAATTGGTGAATGTATAACTATATTTGTGTGGTAAGTCGACAGAAAAACCTACCATTTGAGAGCTATTCGGCGTGTGCAGCATAAGAGTTTGCCTTTCTAAGTTGTATAAAAAAAAATTCGATGAGTGGTTTTTGACTTTATCAAAAAAAAAAAAGAAAATATTTGATTGTTTGTTGGTAATCCAACAAACAATCAAATATTTTCTTTTTTTAATATTAGTGTAGATATTGATTAGCTTGTGGGGACTAACGGCCCCATTATTTGCAATATACCCCGCAAGATCTCCGTACCATCCCCCTAAAAACCATCGCAGTTGTTAATTCCTGGTGAACTCTTTATGATGGGTCACCTGACCCGACCACATCGTCGCCTGCCACCGCTCACTCAGCCAGCGGAAACCAATACGGCAAGTAAGTTTACCATTTCCGTGTACTTCAGAATATGGTTTGCTTTTAACTACGGAATACTTTTTGATAACTTGTGTTAGGTACAATCTTATTAAAGTTGC